ACTAAATCTTTTGTTATTTGAGTTATGGTGCATTGCACACAACGTGTGCATTCGAATTATAAATGGTCAGACCTGAATAATTCAGGTCTGACCATTCTGACCATTCATTCTAAAAGGTCAGAAGTTAAAAGCTGTGCTATCGATCAGCTCAAGGAATTTTTCCCTCAGTCTGCTATAAATTATTTTACTTGCTAGCATTATCTGTTGCTGTTTCCCAGACCCATTAAAAAACAAACAAACAAAAAACAATGGTCAGTTTATATCATTTATAACTGGATATAATTTCACTCTTTATTCTGTTAGAACAGATTTAATAAAGTCTGATCTACCTATAATGTTAACTTTTATGGGCAGCTACACTGTTGACAATGATTCCATATTTATAGCAGTCCATGGAAATAGCAGGAATTGTCTTACTGTTCACAAAAAGCAAGGAAGGGGAAATATTCTTTCCTTACTATCAAATGGTAGCTAAATGACCAGAAAATGAAAATCTCAGTTGCTAAAAGCTCAGTTCTGTGAGATTTGGGTATTTTATTCCAGTGCAGACACTTTGGGACAGCTGGGAGTTTGAAAACATTAATGTGAAAATGAAAATATATATAAGTTTATGTCTAATTATAAACAACTGCAAGAAGAAATTGACAGATGTTAATATTAAGACTTCATTTCAATGGTATGGACATGTAACATTCAAGACTGATCTATCACAGAAATCCCACTACCCTTTTTTCCAGGCCCTGCTGGTAGGTTGACAGGCCTTGACAATAGATGGAGGATTGAAGTAGCGAGATTGAGCATACTGAATGTCGTCCCATTGGGCTGCTGCTGCCTTACCTGGAATTCTAACTACTTAGTCACTGCACTAAAGAGGTCTGTTTGAAGAAAGACAGTCTTGTTGATTATACAAGTCAGGTAAATTTATTGCCTAATATTGTATAATTCATGGTTTTTCTCCACAGGGGAAGTAATGCACCTGTGGTATCACTTTACTTATAAGCAGTATAACGTGCACTCTCCCTCTGCAAGTTGTGTATTAACCCTTTGACTGTAAACCAACATCAAATTGTTCACGCAGCTTGCTCTTAACTCCTATAATAGCCACGTGCGTTTATGATGAGATTCTATTCAACCAAAAGTATTTGACTATTAATAATCATAATATAATTTCCTGGAGAACATAGCTTCTCTTACTAATAGAATGCAATTATACAGAGGGCCTTGGAGAGTGATAGTGTTATTCCCATCTTGGGATAAAGCAACCTTTGAGGCTTTGCTCGGCCTTTTGCTGGAATAGGGGCTATAACAAACAACTGCAGATGGGTTGTTCTTTATTACTTTTGTCAGTCCCTTAAAAATACAGATTAAAAAATAAAAATACAAGTCACTCCTTTCACGGCAGTGACCATTTACTTCTAATCCAGTTACCGAGGACTACATTTGTCAAAAGACTGGATACCTGGAACAGCAAAAAGGTAAGTTAAACATCTAGTGAAAAGACTTGTTAATTTGCTACATTGACACAAAAAAAAATTCTGCTTCAAGGAAAAAGACCCCAACAAGATTTTACATCTGGACAGCTACAGGCAGCCCACCACATTTTCACCGCAGCTAGCTCCTGGGTGTTGAAAGTAATGTACAGTGCAAAGTGCTGAACAATATTCACGATACAAAAATCTTTTTCAGTAGAATTTTCTTGATACACCTTTTATGAATGCTGTGATTGCACCCCTTTTTAATAGTGGTAAATTTCTCGGATGACTCATCCAGTTTCAGTGTGTCTGATTATGAAATCAGATACTAAGAATATGAGTGGGACACATCAGAGGAGTTTTTTGGTGTGTCACAGGATAGATTTATTTTATCCTCACAAGTGCACAGCTAGGGATGCAAATGCCATAAGCAAGTGTTATCTTCATTTTACGTGAGAAATAGATAGTAACTAGACAGAAAATAGATCTGCATCAGAACAGGTGAGGCTGGTGTCAGCTGAAGACAGAATAAAGGGATTAATGTCTTAATGTTGAACCATAATACTGCTTCTTTCAACAGCCTGCAGTCAGTCACTGTATTTGGCTAGAAATATTATTGCAGCTTCTGCCATTTTGCAATAATCCACATGTTAAAGCAGTCAACTGTTTGATTCCCTAGCCAAGTTCTGTGCCTGCTGTGCAGCAAGTCATCTGCTGATGGAACATGGTGGGAACCAGAGGGCTGCGCAGGAGAGGTACAGCAGGAACTGCAAGAGGAGGAGGAGGAAGAGATTGCCTACCTCTGCCCCACATCTGTGGGTTTTATTTCCTCTACAATAACACACAGAGGCTTCTGAGGGATGATTTAGGGACAGCCTTGTGACCTAAAACGGATTCTGCAGGGGCCTGTTTCAGCCACTGAAAACACTCCTTGGTACTCTTCTTCCAGAAGGATATTGCTTGATGCAAGCCTGGTTTGCAGAAATAACTATCATTTTGATGAAAATCAGGAGTGATTTCATTGCTGTCAGTTACATCATCCCGATTTCAAAATAATGAGAAGTGAGAATTAGCGGTAGGCCTCCTTGTCTTTAGTAATGCTTGATACAAGGAACATTCCCATAAAAGTTGTTAGTCATCAACAGAAAGGAAACCGTCTACTCTCTGTTGCAGCTTTGGCAAATGTGCCAAGGTGTGATTTAGGTGTTAGGAAGGAAACCACCATGTCTTTGCAGGATAATAGTTGGACAATGCACACCTACTGAGGGTGGAGTGAGAATAATAGTTACAGTGAATCAGGAAAGCAGAGCAGGATTCTCATTTCTACACTCAACTGTCTTTGCTTAGTCTGCGTTTATACCTGAGAAATACACTTATCTGAAAATTCCTTAAATTGGCTTGTTAAAAACAGATTATTTTTAAGCATAACTGATAAATATTGCTGTATTTTAGAATAAGGTTTTGGACTGAAGTGATAATTCATTTCAGTGATAAGTGACATTTAGCACAGTTTGGATTTTGCATAATAAAGAAAATTTCACATTCATTAAGATTTAAAAAGATTAAACCAACATCTGTGAGTTGTATTATAGAATTCATCATCTTAAAAAAAAATAATAATAAAAAAAATTATGAGTAACTACTAAAAAGTGCTAAATCTCTCTATACAGCATTTTTCAGCTGATCTGACTGAGTAGGTTCCACTATGTTACACAATTATAGAATTTACATTAGCCAATCCTTCACTCATTGTGTACTCAAAGTGGAAATTTTGAGGACAGATAAGATAGGCTAGAAGCTAAAGGTCTCTGAACATAGCATCTCTTCCCATTTCCTGAGGATGAATACCAAATAGAGATATAAAACTATCTCCTTCCTTTACAGGCATGGTAGGTCCTGAATAAAAAGTAGACATGCATGCACTGCCCATTACAGTGCGGTTTTTGTAACGGGCACTACCAAAGTAGGGATGGGATGTTTGCTTTCTAGTTTTCTTGTCATCTGCCATGATGAAGGCTCAGTGTTTCAGGAACCCATCACGGACCACCTGACCTAAGCAGCCTTAGATATTGCTCCATTCCCCTGATCACATTGATACTGCTGGGATGCCAGGTGTTGCCCATAACATAGTGTTGATTAAAACATAATTCCCTGGGTAATTAATGATGCCATGGGCATAGAGAAGTGCCAGGTCCCCATATACCTGACTAGTTTATGTGAATTGCTGCTTTATGAGTGAGAGAAAAAAAAAAAAAAAAAAAGGAATTGCAAAGAATAATTCTTTTAACTGGCTGATGGTAGCATAGAAAATAGGCATAGAATTAGCTCTGACACTCAGACACTGGTCTTACAAAGATGAGTCAACATGAGCTATGTGTAGTTTATCTCATAATGGCTGTGGGTTTTTTTGTCTATTTATTTGTCTATTTATTTGTCTTTGTAAAGGAGAAATTAAGTTCAGTCATTTATTTAGAAGATGCACTAAATTTCTCTAACAAGTAACAAGAATAATAATTAAACAGCCTGTGTTAAGAAGTATCAAAATCTTTGTCAGTGACATTTTGTTAAAGAACTACCTTCATGGCTGTTTTCCACTTGAATTGTCTGTAGTTTCAAAAGTGTATTTCATAGTTCCTTATAAGTATAGTTATTCCACATAACTAGCCTTACACTATGTTTCTAGTCTCAGCTATTCAAAACAACTGAAAGATTAACTCTCACTGCAGAAGGTTAAGTTCAAAATGGAAAACTTAACCATAGTTCGACCCAATTAATTACTCTAAAATATTTCAGGTGCCTCTGGGCTACAAAATGTGGTGAGCTTACATATATATATATAAATTTTTTTCCATTGGCTGCTTTACGTTGGCAATACTGGTGCTGATAAAGCAAAAACATTTCATTTTAATTTGCATGTCTTAATCATAGAATTACAGAATCATTAAGGTTGGAAAAGACCTCCAAGATGATCTGGTCCAACCATCCCCATACCACCACTGTCCCCCAATAAACCATGTCCCTAAGCACCAGGTCCAGCCTTTCCTTGAAAAGCCCCAGGTGATGCCACCACCTCACTGGGGAATCTGCCCCAATGCCTGACTGCTCTTTCTGAGAAGAAATGTCTCATCATTTCCAAACTAAACCTCTCCTGGCACAACTAAGTTATGTAATTGCCACTATTTATTATTTACTGTTATACTGAAGTAGTGCCTATAGAGTCTTGTCATTCAAAGCAAGTTTACCAGGCAGAGTATAAACACAGAGCAGAAAGGTAGTCCCTGATGTAAAGAGGCCATTACCTGGTTGTTTCTATCTTTATATGCATTCTTATCCTATTTTGGGATTTGTATTTTATTCGATACTCCTTTCCTCCGAATCAGACCCCCCCCATTTACATCTGCAAATTAGGTGCCTCCTCCTCTCCCGGGCTGCCGGGACCTAATCCCGGTCCCTTGCCGACGATTCTCGGCGCGGAGCTGCTCCAGCTCGCCTTTTTTGGTCGCTCTGCCTCCGGAGCTGTTCGGAGCCCCGAGGGGGCGGTGGATGCCGCACTCCCAAACCCGGCCCAGCAGCGCCCCTTGCTCGCTCGGGCCTGCCCCAGAGCCCGGCCCGGCAGGCGGCAGAGGACTGAGGGGGGCGAAACCCCGGGCCGAGGCGGCTGCTGAGGCGGCCACCGCGGGGAGGAGCGGAAGGGAGGGGCGCACAAACGAGAAGCGGCTGGGCTGGGGGGAAGGCGGGGAGCCGAGCCGAGCCCTGGGGGGCTTCGGCGTCTCTTCCCTGACAGCCGCCGGCGCCTTGCAGCTGGGGCTGCCACCGGGTCAAGCAACTCCGGGAGACGAGGAGGAGCCCAAGGGTGCCCGGTGAGGTGCGGTGGTGTGGGGTGCTGTCACCGTGTGTCCGCGCTCTGGTTGGGGCTGGGCGGGGAGGCGGCTGCTGCCTGTCAGGGCTCTGGGGCTGGTCACAGAGGTTGGGTTGTGCCCGTGGGGGGACTGGGACGCTTCGCCGCCTCCTCCGTCTTCTCATACCCTCCTCGCTGCTGCTCTTAGTGGTCCCCCGGGGAGACGGAGGAGTCCCTCACCAGCGGGCTGGGGCGGGCAGGGCCTGAGGGACCCGCGGCCGCCCGGAGGCCCTGAGGGGGCGGCAGCGACCGTTGGAGGCGGCGGGCGCTCGGGCCGCTACCTCCCGGGGGCTCAGCAGCCGTTTTAGCTGTACTTAGTTCTTCAAAGGTTTTCGTTACTCGTTTAGGGCCGGTTACACGAGTGTCAGTCCAAAAGGAAAGCTCCCAGGAGGAAGGGGCAGAGTCCCAGGTGTCTCTCGCCTCCTTTGAGAAGCGCAGCTGCTGTTACAAGCAAGTCATTCCCAAAGCTCTCGGCCCCAGCCCCTAGCAGGGGGCTCCGCTCCTCGTCGGTTTCCAGCCCAGCCTTCAGCCCAGCTCAGCGGAAGGAGGTTGTCGGGGTCCGTAGGCGACAGAACGAGGGAAAAAACGGCACCTTGCCTGCGGCCACGGCAGATTTGGGGTACGTGGCGAGGGGGGAGCAGCATCCCCTGAGAGGGCACGGGTACCTAGCTGAGGGGGGACAGAGGAGGGCATGGAGGTCTGTGTTGGTGATAACGCCCTGAGGTGGTTCCTGCCTGCCTCTCGTGTCACTGTGCTCACGTTTTGCCTGTCCTGCTGACCAAAGCGTGTGGTTCCCCAAGGAACACGTTACGTTCTCAGGAGAAATCTAGCTTTGCTAACTGATTCCTTTATTTTTCTTCACAGTTCTTAGATCCTGCACATGTGTGTAAGTGCTGATGCATATCTCGTCAGTGTTTGCATACATACACTGATCAGATTTAAATATAAATCTAGTCCTTTAGTACCTCGTGTGTCTCACTTCTTTCTCGTGAAAGGGTAGGGAAAACTATCCCCAACCGTTTGTTACTGGATTAATTCAGTTAAATACCCATTTCTACAGTGTGTACAGAAGTCTGACTACAACAAGTTGCGAGATAGGCTCTGTATTTGTACAGAACTTGAATTCAATGCAGGAGAAGCCATGGTGTTTGGAAACAGAGTTAAGGCATTTGCTGCAGAATAGAGGGTTTTGGAGGTGAGGGAGTGTGTCCAGCTGCCCCAGGATACGTGAAGTGAGAGAGTGCACAGGATTATCTTTGGCTCATCAGGTTGTGGATTTAGCTTTTCTGTCTAAAATGTTTATACATACAACTTCTTAGCTGTTCAGTAAATATTTGTTACTCATTTTACTAAACAAAATACTGTTTTGAACAGCAATCCCTTTTAATTTCCTGTCATAATCATGCCAATCAGTTAGCAGTGTGACAAGGCCTTGTGACCCACGGAGACATTGTAACACTCAGTATCATTCCCTGCACATTTCTTGGTCCTCTGCTCTGCTTTGAATAGTGCAGTTCTTCTTCCCAGGACTGCTTTTATGCAGACAGTTGTTCTGGAGAGATTCCAAGCTGTGGGAGTCTTCTGTGTGCATGATCTGGAGGTGTATTGTGTGGAGTTGTTTCCAGAAAGTGCCCAGTCAGACCATGTGTCCTTAAATAAAAAATCTGTTTTGTTTTCCTGTTTGGGAACTGAAGCGAGAGATACCTGCTCCTGTTCAGGAGTTTGTCTGTAATTCTTAATATTGATATGGGAGATGTATTTTCTCATTTAACATTTTATCTGTTAAATCTGTTCCTTTAGATGTTAAGGACAATTAACCTAATCCCTTAAATTCTGTGTATGCTAGAATGTTATTCTTATGTCTTCAGTGTTTTAAGCATTGCAAGGTTACCTAGGTTTTGTAGATAGGTTTTGTACTTTCAGAAGGTATTCAAGTACTTAATAACTTAATAATAACTTAATTAATAAATTAATAACTTAATAAGCCTGAGCAGAGCAGTACTACATTGAAATAAAAGGTGGAAGCATGAAAATACTTGAGCTTGCTGTACAAAGAAAGTCTTGAAAATTTGGTGTTTGCATTTATACTTATTAACTAGGAAAATGTTATCTCCATATATCTAATATTTTCTGTGTCCTGTAAGTCCCTTTGATTCTTTACTAAATTATGCCTCTCAGCTTGTAAGGGTGTGTTGTCCAAGTTGTATGATATTTGAAATAAACAAGTGACTGTGGTCTTGCACAAATCTCTAAAAGCATGTAGAACTATTGTAGTAGGTAAGTGACTGGAAAATACAGAACTCACTAAATATACTGCAGTAACCTGTGGTAGACAAACACCATGCTTTTTTAAGGATTATAATAGCTGCTGTTCTGAAATAAGTAGCTATATAGCATGGAGCTGTGGCAGCTTCAACCCCCAAATTTAATACAGAGCGTGGGAAAACATTTTTTTTGCTTGTTTTTACATCTACCATCAACCAGGGTTGAACATGAAGCAATTTGCTGACAATTATAGAAATGTCAGCAGAGATCAGTTATCAGGTGCTCAACCCTGTATAGAACCCAGCAATGAAAACAAGCAGTTAGTATGCTAGTGGATCAGGTTGTTAATATCTAAACACAGGTACATGCATATTTATTTATCGCACGCTTGATGAGTAGCCTAAGGATTCCAAAGCTGACTAAGCATGCAACCAGAGGTCTGTGAGCTGCTTGAAGGTGCTTTGTGTTCCATACAGGCTACTGCTTTACTTCATGGAAATAGAAATGTGCCCTATACTGTTACTGATTTTGCTTTCTACCTAGGATTAACTATCCTCACAGTGTTGCAGTTCTCCTTGTCACGCTGCAGGTGTGGTACACAGTGTGTGGTACAACTTGTATTCAGAAAGGTTTATTGGCTTTTATACCACTGAAGCTTGCATAAACTTAGAAAGTTGGCAAGTGTTATCTTGTGTGGTTTCTGTAGAGCAAGATCAGCTGCTGTGCTGGTATCGTCTCTCAAACATTTTAGTTGTTGAACTAATGAAAGCTGTACTTCTATTTATTTTAAACACTTCTGCACTTTTCTGAGATAGATTTTTAAGATTATAACTAGAAGAAGAGTATGCCCATTGCACTATGTGCACTGTATCAGGAATCCTATTTATTTAATTTTAAATATCACAGTGTGTCCAGGTAGTGTTCTCCCAGAAGATTCTGTCTTGACTATCACCTTTGTTTTGGAGAAGATGGCAAAGCACAACTATTTGGACAGTGCGTGTTTTGGGGGGTGGCTGACAGCTTTTTCTAGTACATGGCCTTACCTGATGGATCCAGATACTCTGTAGCTGGGAGAGGTAAGAGGCATACATGAATTGCAGTCCAGCACCAAAAGCTGCCACATTTGTGTGATGCAGCCTCTGATGGCTGTATCCTAAACCTGCTATCGCCTTGTAGATGGCAAGGTTCTTGTCTGAGTATGAGCCTTGAAATACTTTGCCTACCAAAACAGTTACTGTCAAAATTAGCTTTTTGTTGATGTTCCACAGATAAATAATGAATATCCTAGAACAAATTATTTCAAGCAAGTTGATTGCTCTTTGGAGGGAGAATCTTGCAAGCTCTCCCAGGTAGGTTTGGATTCCAGGTGTGCTTAGCAATTGCAGATGAAAAGCTTCTAAAGACAGAGAAGGTAATTTTAGAACAACACAACTTCTGTCAGCCATTCAAGTCTATTAAGTCTGGAAAAATAAATGCAGAAACAAGTTGACAAACTTCAAAGACATGAAACTGTGTAGTAATTTTGAATTAAATAAACATGATTATTAAGATAATAGGCTGAATGGATGATAATTTTAATGTCAAGGATAAAATCCGATGCCCGTTCCAGGCAGATAGATTTTTGAACCTGCTAGTTCCCTGGCGATGATAGTTTTGATAAAGGGGAAAATGGGTTGTGCTTTTATCAGCAGTTGTAGGGTTTTTCTTAGTTTCATTTATTTTCAATAATTATTATTTTTTATTTAATTGATGGAAACTGAAATATACTGAAAGGAAGAGAAGAATGTGAAAAAGTAGCAGCAGTTGCATTACTTTTATACTAGACTACTGCATACTGATTTTTCCTTTTTTTTTTTTTTTTGCGCCTGTAATTAGCATGAAAAATACTTTACTTAAATACAAATTTCATATATATATATATATATATATATAATTTAAGAAATTGTCCCTGAAATTTGTTTAGCTTTGCACAGTGCTTGCTATCAAATTCAGAAATTTGAAGTGGATAGAGTTAAATTAATCTAAGAAATTGCTAGCTGTATGAGTCACTCACTTGGGAACATAAATACTCCTTATCTTTGGAAATAACTTTTCAACATTGTTTTGCTTCATAGTGTCAACTGCAAAACACAAAGCAGTATGTTTAGCGTAAAAGTAGTTGGATTTGTATTTGAAATCAGACTGTATGAACAAAATCAGTGTAACTTTTTGCTCCTTTTTTCTTTGCAAACCGGCTAAAGGCTAGTGATAAATCTGCAATAGAAGCTGGATTATGATTACTGTATTGTTTTGTTTGTTTGCTTTATTGAAAAGAAATAAAAACTTGGAAGGGGGGAAAAGTGTAAAGTGGTAAGTAGTTAGCACTGGAGAATTATTCTTGCACGCTGATGGGATGGATGTGTTGTTTTGTTTACTGTCTGGTGCTGAAGCCAGGTACTTGAAATATTAGGAACATCTGGATCTTTTGGTCCAGAGAAAAATAGATTTATCTCAGAATGACATAAGTAATTAGTGTCACATATCACTGACACATAATTCCTTGATATGTTTGTTGACTAGCATACAGCACTTAGTGTTGTGGGTATTCGTCTAAACAGTACTTCTAACTTTGTGTGCACCTTCTGCATTTTAAGCACTCTATGTGAAAAGTTCTTCTCAAGTATTTTCTAGCATTTCCTAATGTTAGCTTTTTCCTAA